TTACAATTAAAACGCAGATTTCCAATTTAAAAATATCCAAATATTGACTTAGTTATAAACACAAAGTAACTGGGAAAAACAATTATGGCAAAAAAACTTAGCGGTTTAAATCTATGAAAATATTGTCAAACAGAAATGAAAAAAAATGATAAAATGACAGCCTGTCATTTATATAAAATGGAAACAAAACATGTAGATTTATTATTCTAATTAATTTCCAATTATCATAAAATTATTTCAACAAATCATAATATAATAATTGAAATAAAACATGCCTGTACATGGAAATGCTATAGAAAAAACAGCAAGGTGAATAAATCATACTTTACATGAGTACACAGACTTGTCAAAATGTCATATCCCAACATAAACTATCTTATATTTTCTGATGAAACAATGAAATACATTACATTATCACAATCAATTCCAATTTTATTAATAAAAATTCTTATAAATTATGCATTATTTTTCTTCTTCTTATAATATAATACATACATACAAATGTACATGTATATACATACATTGTAACAAATTTAGACATTTGCAGACTTACAATCATAACAACATTATCCGTTTACATTTTATCACCCAAAAACTCAGCCAAAAAATGTTTGGTCACATGACAAGTCTAGTTCCAATGGTAAAGCAGGAAATGTTTCGCATTAAATATGTTCAGATGATGACAACAAATTTATAAGTACAAAAATGTAAATATGTTCAGCATGTAAGAGAAACTTTAAAATGATATGATTAAATAAGTAGATCTGACCTATTTTTTCTTTATACATATATCTGTAATATAATACATATCCAAGTTTGTAATCTTTTCAATGTTGTATTCACTACATTTGTCCAAAAAATAATATCAAACTTGGAAATATTTCATATTAGTAGACATTAAAACCAGATAACACATGTTGGAAACTTTTTTTTAATTTCTGCCATCAAATGTTGTCTTCATTTTATAAATGAAAATTCATTTATACTACACAATGTAGAATTATGTTGTATAAATAGTATGTTTGAATATAAAGATCTAAAAAAACAACTATAAACAGATTATAACAGTATCATCAAACTCCTTAATTTGTTTTTTTTTTCATTCATTATTTTTTTTGTTCTACATAATTTTGTAAAAATAAGTGTTATTATTAACAAAAGGTTTTAAAAACTTTCTTCACTTCCGGACAACATAATATCAGTTGTTATGTACATGTTTGAATACTGTAGCAGATCTGCCGGACATGATAACATGATGTTTCCTACAAGCAATCCTATAACCTACAACTAAAGCTCAATTCTTCACATAAAAGTATTGCTAAAGTCACAACCTCAGTTGATATAAAAATATGCAAAAATTTAACATTAAAACCACAAAAAAACAAGATATGTTTGTAAAACATGTATGCCCCCTATCAGCAGCCAATTAGTCATGTGATAAGGTTATTATGCATGACTTCTGACCCAGTGATCAAACAATTAATAAGGGTTATCAAGTATCTACTGGTCATGACCTTTACCTTTGACCCCTTGACCCAAAACTCAATAGGGGTCATCTGCTGGTCACGACCAATCATCATACAAAGTTTGAAGTTCCTAGGCCTAAGCGTTTTTAGTTAATTGATCAGAAACCGTTTTTACCTACAAGGTCAATGTGACCTTCACCTTTGACCCCAAAATCAATAGGTCATCTGCTGGTCATGACCAATCACCATACCAAGTTTGAAGTTCCTAGGCCTAAGGGTTCTTTAGTTATTGATCGGAAACCGTTTTAACATACAAGGTCAATGTGACCTTGACCTTTGACCCCAAAATCAATAGGGGTCATCTGCTGCTCATGACCAATCACCATGCCAAGTTTGAAGTTCCTAGGCCGAAGCGTTCTTTAGTTATTGATCAGAAACCGTTTTTTACTTACAATGTCAATGTGACCTTGACCTTTGACCCTTGACCCAAAACTCAATAGGGTCATCTGCTGGTCACGACCAATCATCATACTAAGTTTGAAGTTCCTAGGCCTAAGCGTTTTTAGTTATTGATCGGAAACCGTTTTTACCTACAAGGTCAATGTGACCTTCACCTTTGACCACTTGACCCCAAAATCAATAGGTCATCTGCTGGTCATGACCAATCACCATACCAAGTTTGAAGTTCCTAGGCCTAAGGGTTCTTAAGTTATTGATTGGAAAGCATTTTTACCTACAAGGTCAATGTGACCTTGCCCTTTGACCCCTTAACCCCAATATCAATAGGGGTCATCTGCTGGTCATGACCAATCACCATACAAAGTTTGAAGTTCCTAGGCCTAAGGGTTCTTTAGTAATTGATCGGAAACCGTTTTTACCTAAGAGGTCAATGTGACCTTGACCTTTGACCCCTTGACCCCAAAATCAATAGGGGTCATCTACTGATCATGACCAATCACCATATCAAGTTTGAAGTCCCTAGGCCTAAGGGTTCTTTCGTTATTGATCGGAAACCGTTTTACCTACAAGGTCAATGTGACCTTGACCTTTGACCCCTTAACCCCAAAAATCAATAGGGGTCATCTGCTGGTCATAACCAATCACCATAAAAAGTTTGAAGTTCCTAGGCCTAAGGGTTCTTTTGTTATTGATCAGAAACCGTTTTTACCCAAGAGGTCAATGTGACCTTGACCTTTGACCCCTTGACCCCAAAATCAATAGGGGTTATCTACTGATCATGACCAATCACCATACCAAGTTTGAAGTTCCTAGGCCTTAAAGATCTTTAGTTATTGATCGGGAAACCGCTTTTGCTTACAAGGTCAATGTGACCTTGACCTTTGACCCCTTGACCCCAAAATCAATAGGGGTCATCTACTGATCATGACCAATCACCATACCAAGTTTGAAGTTCCTAGGCCTTAAAGTTCTATAGTTATTGATCGGAAACCGTTTTTCCTTACAAGGTCAATGTGACCTTGACCTTTGACCCCTTGACCCCAAAATCAATAGGGGTTATCTACTGATCATGACCAATCACCATACTAAGTTTGAAGTTCCTAGGCCTTAAGGTTCTATAGTTATTGATCGGAAACCGTTTTTGCTTACAAGGTCAATGTGACCTTGACCTTTGACCCCTTGACCCCAAAATCAATAGGGGTCATCTACTGGTCATGACCAATCACCATACCAAGTTTGAAGTTCCTAGGCCTAAGGGTTCTTTAGTTATCACTCGGAAACCATTTGGTCTACGGACCGACGGACCGACGGACCGACAGACCGACGGACCGACGGACCGACAAGTGCAAAGCAATATACCCCCTTTTCTTCGAAATGGGGGCATAATAATAAAAAAAAAATGACAAAAAAATAATATACCTAAAAATGAAAAACTCAAACTATGAACGTAATCCTATACAAACTATAACTTGATTACAGAATACAAAATGTGTATTTCCTAATGTCTTTGTATAATATACCCTAACCAGTATAGCAATACATTTCAATATATGAGTATAAATTATTTACAATGATAATCTGGAATTTGAAAAGATAAAATGCATAACAAATCTTTTTGTTTCAAACATAAGTAATTAATCTAGCTAGTAAATAAATACAAAGTGAATATTGAACACTTACTTACTGATATTAAACACTGGTTCTCTCCCTTGGATGTTTAATAAACAATGAATGACCTTCACATATATGATTAGGGAAATTATTCATCAGTTAAATAGTTCCTTGTAAAAAAAAAAATCATTGTATATTAACAATACAACACAGTTTTGTGCATGTAATTCAGAACATCAATTATGGAATAATAATGCAGCTTCATATTTGAATCTTATTATACAAACATCATTTTTATAATGCTCATGTATTGTAAATATTTAAGTTTATGTCCAACATTGATATAACTATGGTAAGATCAAAATTTGTGTTGATTTTCTTACTAAATTTATGCCAGTATTATTGTGATCTGTAAATTTACCAACTTTACAATGAAGAACAATGTAGCAGTGCTAGGATAATACATTCATTATCACAGAACCTTTTGCATTTTTCAGAATGTTTACAGCTTCCTCGTGCGTAAGACCTTCTAAACTGGAGCCGTTCACTGTGAGGATCTGGTCACCACGTTTAAGCAGCCCATTTTCTGAAGCAGCACCTTTGGAGAATACATTCTTGACATATATGGGTAAATCTCCATGTGGACTTCCATGACCACCAACAATAGAGAAACCAAGTCCATCCGGTCCTCTCTCTAATGTAATTGTCTTATACTGAGGGGGTGCCCTTAAAGAAAAAAATTATATATTTTACACATTAATACAAGATACAAATCAAACATTATAAAATGAGTTGATCTAGGATCAAGGAAAGAGCAGGAAAAACCACATTAACTCCCCTTCGAGTAAGATTAATTTCACTTATAGTGACATTTTAAAGAAGTGAGATCATCTCTCATTAGAGAAGATTAACTACTTGTAACAAAGATCTACCAGGTGAACAGTGCTGGACTTATTCTGAGTTTTTTGTTTGTTTTATTTTTTTAATAGAATGTACAGAATTTTTAAGATCAGGAAAGGTAATTATGCAAATGTGTGAAGTTTCAAGTATATACATTCAGTAATTTATGATGAGATATAAAGTTGCTTGTGAAGCCTTCACCATGTGGTATGACCATACAAACACCAGGGTAAAACAACACAACTACATGTGTGTTTTGAACAGAAAGTCTATATGTCAACAAGCAACAGTACTGTTATTAGGGTAAAATCAAATCTAATTCAATTAAAATCAAATATTATATAGACGAAAGTATAGGATAAGAACAAAATTGAAGATGTGAAAAGATCAGGGACTTACTCCTCATCATCAAACACATTGTTTTCTTGTGGAGTTGGTGTCCTCACTGTAGGTATTTCAGGTGTTATCCCAGACGTAGATCCTCGGGTAGAGCCTCGTGTTGAAGATGTCCGACCACTGACGCTTACTTGTGTCTGCTCGCCTGTATTCACATCAAATATTCTAATCAATTACTCATTACCTCATAAAATATAAATTGTAATTTGTTTATGACCTAAAAACCTTTTTCAATATTGTATATTTTGCACAATTTATGTTGTTGTTATTGTATAATCATCCATTAAAAACAGTATTTCTGACAAACAACAGCTCAAAGCTACAGAGCAAGTGTTTATGGTTTCTGTAGACAACCTTCTTTTCAAACATAATCACAATCATTTAAACAATCTAGGTAGAACATTGTTAAAGTTGATTTAAGTTCACATGGCCATGCATCATATAGAAGATATTGAATGAGTGTAGGTGTACTATTATACTAAATTTATTGAATGAGTTGAATAAAATCATATTATGCGAGCCTCTGGCAAGCATAATATTGTTTCAATAAATTTAGTATTGAATCTACACAAATATAATATCCTATTTATAACATATATAAAACAAGAGCTGTCTGTAGGACAGCATGCTCGACTATTCTAAGTGCTTGATAGTAAAAGAGCCTTGATATTGTTAAATTTTTTAAGTTAACAAAAGGGCTATTTTTTTTGTATAAATTCATGTTATAGGCCTTAGAGAGAGTCTAATTATACAGAATTGGCTTGACTATTCGGAACGTAATGTCACAAGGTTTTTTATTGAGTATAATAATACTAATTACCTATGAATACATAAATTTGACAGAAAAGGTACAAAAGCTTGTTATTAAGATGTTTTATCAAGTAAATCACTACTTTATTATTATGAATGCATAAAATTGTCCCAAAAAAGGCACAAACCCTTCAGTAGTTACTGAGTTAACAGCTTACAAGCAAAACTTTACCATGAATTTCTAAGTTGAAAAAGGGGAGAAAAATCAGCCTAAATGCAAGATAGAATTATGGATCTTTGTCAGTGACCTACAATTATGACCCTAAATGCATATGTGAAGTTTTACATAAATATCTTTAATAGTTATTGAGATATGTAAAACTTGCATGTAAACATTAACCAAGAGACTAAGTAGAAAAGGGGATATGAATCAGCCTTAATGCAAGATAGAGTTATGGAACTTGGTCAGTGACATACAATTAAGACCCTCCAATTATGACCCTAAGTGCATGTGTAAAGTTTCAAGTAAATATCTTTGAAGACCGTTGAACCTTTAACAAAATTTCTAAGTTTCAAAGGGGCAAATAATTCTGCAAATATTGCAGACAGAGTTATGCAATTTTGCAAAACTGAATGTACATTTGTTACTATAAATAAGTATTTTAAATTTCAAATTGATTATCTCAAGCAATAATTGAGATATTTGACTTTACAAAAAAACTTTAACCAAAATTTCTAAGTTCCAAAGGGGCATAATTCTGTCAATATGGTAGGCAGAGTTATCCAACTTGTCAATCTGATGTACATTGTTACTATAAATAAGTATTGTAAGTTTCAATTGAATATCTCAAGCAATAATTGAGATATTTGACTTTACAAACAAGAGGGCCATGATGGCCCTGAGGTCGCTCACCTGTATATAGCCCCCCACCCCCACCCCCGGCCAATTTTTACCCAAGGGCTTTTATTTGTTTATATAAACAGACTTGGTAGACACCCATAAGAAGATGTTTCATGCTAAACATCTAAGTTCTAGCTCATTGGGTTTTTTAAAAGAAGATTTTTAAAGTTTTTACTATACACATATAGTTAAAAACAATGACACCCCTGGGGCAGGGCCAGTTTTGACCCCCGGGCTTTTATTTGAACAAACTTTGTAGATATTTACTTAAAGATGTTTCATGCTTAATATCTAAACTCTAGCTATTTGGGTTTTTTCAAAGAAGATTTTTAAGTTTTTGCTATACACATATAAGCAAAATCAATGACCCCCTCCCCCCCCCCGGGCGGGGCCAGTTTTGACCCCAGGGCTTTTATTTGAACATACTTGGTAGATACCCATTAGAACATGTTTCATGCTAAATATCTTAGCTCTAGCTCTTTGAGTTCTTTAAAAGAAGATTTTTTAAGATTTTACTATATGCATATAGGGAAAATCAATGACCCCCTGGGGCAGGGCCAATTTTGACCCCAGGGCTTTTATTTGAACAAACTTGGTAGACACTCATTAGAAGATGCTTCATGCTAAATATCTTAGCTCTAGCTCTTTGGGTTCTTTAAAAGAAGATTTTTAAAGTTTTTACTATATGTATATACAGAAAATCTATGATCCCCTGGGGCGGGGTCAATTTTGACCCCAGGGCTTTTATTTGAACAAACTTGGTAGACATTCACTAGAAGATGTTTCATGCCAAATATCTAAGCTCTAGCTCTTATGGTTCTTTAAAAGAAGATTTTTTTAAGTTTTTACTATATGCCCCCCCGGGGTGGGGCCAATTTTGACCACAGGGCTTTAATTTGAACAAACTTGGTAGACACTCACTAGAAGATGTTTCATGCTAAATATCTTAGCTCTAGCTCTTTGGGTTCTTTAAAAGAAATTTTTTTAACTTTTTACTATATGCATATAGGGAAAATCAATGACCCCCTGGGGCGGGGCCAATTTTGACCACAGGGCTTTTATTTGAACAAACTTGGTAGACATTCACTAGAAGATGTTTCATGCTTAATATCTAAGTTCTAGCTCTTACGGTTCTTTAAAAGAAGATTTTTTAAGTTTTTACTATATGCATATAGGGAAAATCAATGACCCCCTGGGGCGGGGCCAATTTTGACCCCAGGGCTTTTATTTGAACAAACTTGGTAGACACTCACTAGAAAATGTTTCATGCCAAATATCTTAGCTCTAGCTCTTTGGGTTCTTTAAAAGAAATTTTTTTAACTTTTTACTATATGCATATAGGGAAAATCAATGACCCCCTGGGGCGGGGCCAATTTTGACCCCAGGGCTTTTATTTGAACAAACTTGGTAGACACTCACTAGAAGATGTTTCATGCCAAATATCTAAGCTCTAGCTCTTAGGGTTGTTTAAAAGAAGATATTTAAAGATTTTTCTTTCGGTTGCCATGGCAACCAGAGTTCTGCATGGAATTAAATTCTTTGAACAATTTTTAAAGGTGACCACCAAAGGAACATTCCTATGAAGTTTGGATGAAATTGGCTCAGTGGTTTATGAGGAGATGTCATTTAAAGCAAAAGTTTACGGACGGACGACGGACGGACGGACGGACGACGGACAGACGCCGGACGAAAAGCGATCACAAAAGCTCACCCTGTCACTTTGTGACAGGTGAGCTAAAAACTTTAACCAAAATTTCTAAGTTAAAAAGGGGCATAATTCTGTCAATATTGTAGGCAGAGTTATCCAACTTGTCAATCTGATATACCTTGTTACTATAAATAAGTATTGTAAGTTTCAATTGAATATCTCAAGCAATAATTGAGATATTTGACTTTACAAAAAACTTTAACCAAAATTTCTAAGTTAAAAAGGGGCATAATTCTGTCAATATTGTAGGCAGAGTTATCCAACTTGTCAATCTGATGTACCTTGTTACTATAAATAAGTATTGTAAGTTTCAATTGAATATCTCAAGTAATAATTGAGATATTTGACTTTACAAAAAACTTTAACCAACGCAGACGCCGACGCGGACGCTGATGCCGACGCCGGGGCGACTACAATAGCTCTCATATTCTTCGAATAGTCGAGCTAATAAGAATGGTAAACTGTTAAAAAGAGTAATTTCTCATTGACGGACCTACAGTGTAACGCTAACATTAGCGCACTTAAAAAAACACTATGTTTATATATAGCACAAATGCCGTCATGTCAAAGTGTTATGACACTCGTGTAACACTCCTGCGCCATGGTTTATGTGATAAAAAACGTTTATACATCTGCCTTGTGTTCACATGTAATCTAATGGTTTTATCAATCTAACTTTAGAAGTCAGACATATGCTATTGATTTTGTGTAGCAAAACATACACATCATCAATAAATAATTATATTGTTTAATGAATTTTCTATGACAAATTAGATTCTTTCATTTTTTATGGTATACAAGTCATTTACATAAAAAGCATGGATGCTCCTGTTGTTTCTTGAAATTGTGACCATCACACCAATTGTTTTTGGTTATCTAATGGTTAACAATAAGTTTCCAAAATTTTAAAGCTAGCTACTGATTGGCTTCTTGTAAGGTCATAAGGTGATCTCCTATTGGTGACAGTTATGTATTATTACGAAGTTGGTTAATATGATGGTTTCACACTGTGGTAACATGTTATGTATAATATATACCTTGTGTTACTTGTAGTGTAATAGAATCAGTCGAGGACTTGAGCAAGTTGACCACTTGTTCATGATTCATTCCATCTGTACTCACTCCATTTATACTGAGGATTTTATCTCCAACCTGTAACATATATCATTTATAATGTTCTACATGTTTATCCCTTCAGCTCATATCACTATTCTTCTATTCTTCTATTTCTATAGATTATGTTAGTGTATACTCAATGTTTCTCTATTTAATCTTTATCACACTGAAATACTTAAATCAACAAGAAAAATAGTATCTTTTTTTATTTTTTTAGAAAATTCATTTCAAAAGAGAAAAAAAAAACAAATTTATAAGAGAATTTTTTTTTTTATATGCATACACTTTTCAGCAAAACTTGTTCATCTTAAGTCATCTACCAAACAAAAAATTATTCACTACATACCTTTAATTTTCTGGACCTTTCAGCGGGTCCACCAGAAGTTAGGTTAGCCACCAGTATGGGTGTATCCCCTAGAGAACTACCGACTCCTCCAGCAATACTCAGTCCTAGAGAACCATTTGCATCATGGGCGAGCTCTACCACCCGGATATGACTCATGTCCTCACTCCCTTCTGAAATACAAAAATACCAACCCTCATGCTAATTGTTAGAACAGCCTTGTACATTCATTCATTTTCTAGCATTTTAAATTCTATGCAATCATGTTAAATATGAATAACAATGGTCAGATTCAACCTGTCAAACCTACACTATGTCCGACATAAAAAAACACTGTTTTTTATTCTTAACATTATCAACAATTTTTTTATATACCTACATGACTTTGTATAACTAAAAAATTGAATTTGATATATAATCTATCCCTTTTTTTACTTTGAGGGTACAAATTAAATTTGTATACAGTAACGTTTATCGCATAACACTTTCTTTTTTAAAAATTTAACTCAAACCATTCTTAACAAACACGGATAAAAACATAATATTATTACATAAGAAAACATGTACGTAATAATGCATGTCAAAAGTTATTACATTAATTACATTCTTTCTTTCCCAATAAAATTAATGTTATTAATTAATATATACATTTATCATGCTAAGTTTTAGCAGTGTCATACCTTTTGCTCATACATCTTACTTAACATGCTCAACACTTATATCTCTATATAAACAGCCATTTCTAGAGATTCTCATAGCAATTCTGATCTACACTGTCACCAGCATCTCATTTTATTAACATTTTGCAGCCTTTTACCTTACTATAACATAGCATTTTACACAGCAATCTGTTCTAATCTTTCACCAGTAAGAAATGATGTTTTAAGTTGTCACTTTTATAATATGATACCTAAGTAACATATTATTATACAGACACAGTCTACGGTCAGACCATTTCAAGGTTCTAGTTAAAACATTGCATTATAACGACTGGAAGATAGAACATTTATATTTGTGCACAGATGATCAAATTTGTCAAGTCATGTATGATAATTTGTTCTACCTATATAATGATTTCATCAATTCACACATTCTATTTGTTATTTGGTATCTGGCACAAGTGTGATTTAAAATATCTCGATCGCCATTCGGACAGTAAAATAATCATTTTTGTCATCAATGACTGCCACTGTGTGTCAAATTTTAGAAAGACAGTGACCACAATACCTTAACTTAGGATGAAATATATCTTAAAAGTAAAATCATAAATAACCATAATTCATGTACATTTTTTGTACATGTGGTGAACTGGTTACTTGCTTGAACAAAAACCTCATTAAACAAACCCCTAACAACTTGCTTATATAACATATTCACATAACATGTTAGCTCTTATTATTTATTTTGTCTTTGGTTTAATAATGTAACAATATTGTGGCATTAAAATAATATGACAATGTCATACTGATCTGTTTTAATGTAAAATGAAACATATAAATAAACTGACTTATTTCTTTAGTCAGTCCATGCCCTTGCCCTTAACAACATAGGGCCTTTTATATTATCAACCTTCACAACTGTCTTAAATTATCATGCAAATGAAAAAATGTATGATTTTATTTGTTGTCATGCAATATTCATAAAATTGCTCTATATCTTTAAATGTTTCCTTCAAAATGTACACATATTACATGGTATTTTATCATAAGTAACTTTGCCTTCTTTTTAGTTAATTTGGCAAAGTTATTGAAAATATTTCAAATTAAATATTGTCATCTGGTATAACATTCAGACAAATAAATTGATACTATACAGACAATAATTCCTGCAGTTTGTGAGATTTATTTCATTTTTATCATTAAAATGAATTATTCTAATAGAATTTATCAAATAAAATTAAAAAAAAGAAGTTTCCATATCAGCTGATTAAAAAGTGGGGGCGGTAGATTGTATGTATTCAGTCTGGGCCACAATGACATGGTATAAAATTACAATAATTTCTGACATATCAACAGGGGATTTAGAGTTTTACCATGATGTAACATAAGTCATAGATTATTTAAGGATATGATATAGACATGGTGTTTGCTAATATAAACAGTGTGCTGTTGTTGTTGTAGTTACTGTATAATGTGATATATAAATGCATGTGGGTACATTCTGAAGGAAACATCTAAAGCTTATATTGACCAACAAAACCAACGTCAAGTTGAATTCTTAACAATTTTTTTCACCAATATATAATTAAAATCTTGAAGTAAATATCTTATGAAAGTAAGAATTTATTTTGAATTCAAATTGACCTAGATTTTGTACAAATGAAAGCATATTTCATTCTTGGTTGTATTCTAACTCTATTCACTTACACAATGAGGTGCTCTTATACAAGCCAAGTCATCTTCTGGTCATATCAAGCTATCCTTTGTTTTTGTTTTGTTTTTTTGTTTTCCAAAATAATTACCCTCAAAATTTCTTGTACAAAATCATTTAGTTTGTTAATAAAGCTGAAACAAATCAACAGCATGGTGTACGGACAGTCGTTAACTTTGTGAAGCTTTATCCTGGGTGAACATTTCTAAATTTCAGACATTATTGCAACAATACTGGTGCTAAAATATTTACTTTAGAAATCAAATATCCTTTTAAAAAATAAATCAAACTATAAATAATTTAATTGGTAAAAATAATGTTGATGTGAGAACACATAGCTGTTGACTTTTAGCAAAAGAAAGAAGTTAAATATCTAAATATAAATTATACAGGTAAATAATCTTAACTTAAACAAACAGTAAAACTATAGTGAAAATGGTTATTACATAAATATATACTTTCATTACATACAAAGTACATGTCATATCAAAGAGCAAGCTTAAAAACAATGGGAAAAAATAAATTCTGCTTTTTTTTAATAAAAAAAAATTTAAAGGTTGAGCAATTAAATGTTTGTGACAAGGATTTAACATACAAAATTGTTTGTGTTGAAAATAACCTTCAATAACATATTCCAATCTGAGTGAATACCAGTTTATTTGTCTTGTCCTTGGACAATAATCTCTGATATGGGGTTTGTTATGCAGGTGATATATAAATTTGGGTCTTATACTGAAAGCCTTTATTCAGGTAAAGGTCTACTTCAATATATTCTTACAAAGGATAAGAGGTGAGGTGTTTTTTTTTCCATAGGTGTTACTTTCAGATTGACTAGGTCACCAAATTATTGTTACAGAGCAACAATGCATATTTCAGGACTTTTTTTATATATATTTCAGCATAACGTAACATTATGTAATCAGAAGGATTCCTAAAACAAAATTACTAACTTTAAACAGTAAACTATCATTTCTAACCTTCTTAACACCAATAGTGGTCCCTGTAAAAATGCTATTATTTTTCATCAATTTACTGAAAATCATCATGGAGCAATCATTTTGATATTTTAATCCCTGTATACACTGTTTTATCATCATAATTATATCTACAAATGTATACATTAGCTTATGCTAAACAATCTTCATAATCAGATATTCCCTTAGAAATAAAATCCCATCCTAAAACTCTTGAATATAGTATTTCTGTGATTAAAGCAAAATTCACATAACTTGACAGTCATTTTATCCTGTTTAGAAAAACAAACAAACAAAAAAGAGATAAGAAATTTCATGCAGAAATCTTATACATAACAAAAATATATCCATAAAAATGCTGCAACAATTACTGTTAGTTTATATACATGTAACTATTGGCTAAAAATTTCAACAGAATATTATTATAAACAGGCTCTAACAAAAATATAGATAATATACAAATAAAATATAAAGCTATACTAAAAATTGCAATTCATTCAGAAATGATATATAATATGTAATGTTTTGTTTTGCTTGATATGACCATTTAATCCTGGCTTGGAGTGCTTTGAAGACCTGTATAGGCAAGAAATAAAACATGGTAAGCTAATCTACATGTACTAACTACATTAATTATGATAGACCTTTACTGATGTTTTGTCATATAACCAGAGGTGTAGATCTATGTCTCTGATATAACTTATATAAAAACCATTGCACTAACATCTTCCATCACTTGAATTATAAAGCTATATATCACTGTCTTTAGTTTATGCAATTATTGTTTGAATTATGAAAATGGATAATTCCTCAGTACATGTATGAAAGAAATAGGTTTGTACATTTTATTATGAGTAAATGGCTCATGTACAATATCATTGCTAAAACAGAATGATAATATTTGGTTCCATTTCATTTCATTTTGTTTACTGTGTTAAATAACAGAGACAATTTATATGTGAAGATCTCTTTCAAGTTTCAAACTTATACCGAAGATTATACCGCTACATATTTTATAAAAATATTTCAGTAGTTATAGCTTTATACCCTTTATCTGACATTTCCTGGGAGGCATTAACCAAGGGATATAATTGAAAAACTTGGTAGAACCAACCTGTAAATTCTCTATTTCCGACAACACTAAGTCTACCATTATATATTAAAAGAAGATTTAAGGGTTTTCTATACAAGTGTAAAAAACTGTGAGGCATATACCCAGCTTTATTTCAACTAGTAGACACCCATTAAAATTTCATGCTAAAATTTAATCGCATTTGGGTCTTTAAAAAAATTAAGTTTTGCTAAACACATAATAAGTAAAATCAATTTTACCCCTGGAACCAATTTTGAGCAGGTCTTTATTGAACAAAATCAACTATAGACACCATAAGAACTGTTTCAATGCTACAAATCTTAGCCTAGCTCTTGGGCTTAAAGATTTTCAATTTACTTATGCATATAGTGAAAAACGTGACCCCTAATTTTATCCCAGGGCTTATTGAAAACTTGTAAGACACATAGAAATTTTCATGCCAATTTAACTTAGCTTTTGGGAAAAAGAAAATTTAAAGTTTTCTTATCGTTCTGGCCAATGAACACCGGACATTCCTTTAATATAAATGCCAAATTGTGTTTATACGGGACCCGAAAAGCAATACAAAAAATTAACAGAAAAAGTTATCAACAGCAAAAACAATTCACAACTGTTAATCTAAAATCACAAGCAGTTTCCAGGAATACAGGTGAATATATCACCTCATGTCCTTGTTGACTACATGTCTATACAGTCTGACCATGCCGTATACTGTTGGTAGTTGAATTATTGTATTTTGTTACTGAAATCCCTTAAACTTTTAATGGAGTGTTCAAAACTTACATCAGGGAATACCTATTACAAAATTCCACAGGCTAGGGTTAAATATTTGATATATAAACTTCTAATTAGATATAATACTGCATCTAACATTATGATAAAAATTAAATTAAGAACACAAATAACTGTAGAAACATATAAAGAGAAGAATAAACTATAACAATAATCAAAACCATAAGCTAAATATTGTCTCTGAGTTGTGAATTTATGTTGTCTCTATGTTTAAATGGTTGATAACCCATGGCAGAATGTTTTATCAGTCATATAAAGTACAGTTATATACTTACGTAATTATTTTTACAAAGTCTATGTGTTAACATGTACTAAATTGCCATGCAAGTGCTTGTGTGGACAATAAAACCAAACCAATCTGATTCCATTACATTGTCTGCTTTTATTCTATTCCCTAATGTGTCCTTTTTCATATAAAATTTCACACTTAAATCAAAGGTATGCAAAATCAATTTGTTTTCATTTTCCAGCAGGGAAATATCTCACAAGAATAATTTCAAAATATTGATGTGAAAAACAAAATTAGAGAATCTGCCGTCAAAAATGACTTCAGTGAAAGCAATTTTAATGCAATATATAAAACTGATAGGATGAATTGGTTTATAAATGAAAAAAAAATGATGAAAGGATAAAGAATGTTATTTTAGTGAGTACTTTTGTTTCAGACTAAATGTGGCAACATCACACATTTTAAACAAAAGCAACTTTTTAATACTTTAATTCCCTTACAGGAAAGAGGTAATAAAACCATATAGTAACATCAGCCTAAGACAAATACCACATGGTTAATGAACTTAAAATTATAAACCAATAATAGCCAAAAGTTATAATTCAGTCAATATTAGAAGCCAAAAGATATAATTTTCAACCAGTCGATTTATTGGGCAAGTAGTTAGATAAAGCACCTATAATTAGAGGCCCAGCAGTTATAAACCAATCAAAATTAGAGGCCAAAAAGTATAAACCAGCCAATATTAGAAGACATTTGTAAACCAGCCAATATTAGAAGCTAAAATAAAACCCCTAATAGTATAAACCAGTCCATGAAGAGGCTAACATTTTTTAAACCAGCCTCAGTTGTTTCTCCATCACAGATCAGTTTTAAGTAACAGCTGATAATGTACTCATCAAAAGAAGCAACAATCTTCATTAAACTTATAATTTTAACCCATCAAACAATATGAACAAACAAGGTAAATAATAATACTAAGATGACCTTATCAGACTTATTGTGTAACAAAAAGATAATTAAGAAGGAAAACAAGACCTGTAATTGACTTATTTACATAAAGCTGGTTAAACTAAGGACATATTTCATAACAAGATTGATCTAGTCGTCTTTATATTCATTTCTTTATATTGTTCTTAAATGTGTGTAGTTTCATAAGAAATGAAAATGAGTCAATATCCATCAATAGTTATTTCAAATGAACATCAGAAACCACTTAGTGCTGGCAATTTCTAGGCTGTGAATACATCGAAATACCTCTAAAAACCAATTCAAGCATTTAAACACGAATTTGATGCGACAACATGGTTAAATACACTCTATAATTGATCACTTTATAGCCATATTACTAAACGGAATTGTGCAAATTGTGTAGCAGTATAATATAAATGATTTAAAAGAAGCTTTTTATTTTTATAAAACCATTCTGTACAGTCAGAAGCTACTCACACAAGTGGAACAAATAATAACATGAAGGGGGAGAAGACTTACTTTTTGAGTGTCTGCCACCTTTTGATTTATTGCTTGCAGTGGACTCAGATTTACGTAAACCTCCTCCAGCTGAGTTGGAATTTTTCCTTGAAGATGTCCTTGATCCTGCCTTCAGTCTCCCAACATTCAACACCACTTTACCCATTGTTGTCTTAAAATAAAATTTTAAATAATTATAATTTTAGTAACATATAATACTTTTTAATTCCTTCCACCTTATATGTGTGGGTTAATTGCCAGTAGGTAACAGTTTCAGTCATGTAACAGCCTTCATATGACTATAATTTTTAATATTTGCTTTAAAATGTCTGGGTAAAACTGTTTGACAACAGCTTAAGACATAAAACTAGCAAGAACCAGATGTCCATATACCTTCTTTCTCTTCTGAGCTAGCAGGGAAAGATTCTCTTGATTTAGTTCTTACCATTCATATAAAACAGTAAGATTTTTGTAAAGCAAGAAAAACCTCATACTGCAGATTATCACAATAAATAGAACCAAAATAAGTTGTTATCAATTATAGATGATGGCAAGTTAAATATGACAAATTATTAAAATATCACATGCTTATTAAGTGGATGCAATGTTATAAATTAATTATTCACATGTATAAGTAATAGATATCTGAGGATTTAATGTGAACATAGATCACATAGGTCATCATCATCATCATAATAGTACACAGTCATGTGGTTGCCAATGTGACAATTTTGAATTGGTAAGTTAGTGTAAAATCCAGCTTTTGCAATTACACAGACATCAAAGCTATAGTCCTCTCAAATGAACAGGTAGGGGACTATATAAAGTGATAAAAAAACTCTCAATAACAAGTTTCCTTCCTTAGCTAACAACATGAACTATTAAAGGTGAGGCTAACCTTGAGAACAGCTGCAGCGTGTTCCTGTGTAGCGTTCCTCATATCCTCGGTGTTGACAGCGAGAATCTGATCACCTTGCATTAATCTCCCATCAGCCTCTGCTGCTCCCCCTTTCACTATATCTGATATGTATACACCAACATCATTACGCTTTCCTACAATACTTAGTCCTAGCCCTTTGCCTGGCTTTTTTAACAGTTCCACAGTAAAAATATCATATATATCTTCCTCCTTGATATGGGTATCGTCTCTAAAGACGACCATTTTTACAGTTGCTGGAGTTTGACGTAAAACCTGAATTGCATAGTCGTGTGTAGCTTCACGTAGATTCTCATGATTTACCTGTCAACATTAGATTAGTATCTGTTATTATTACTGTAATGTGAATTATATATAAATTATACATTTATACCTCAATTGTAGTTTTTCATAAAATGGACATGTCAAGCTTTGATTTTACAACAGCCTTTTGTCAATTTTAAGGATTTCAAAACATGTAACAGTTAACAGTTCAGCGTAAGGTCAGCCTGCATGGGCTCTAGATGTTGTAATTAACTTGTGGTATGCTACTGTTATTGCTAGCAGTTGTAAGGCTGAATAACTTTCACAGTAAATGAATTATTAAAAACACAGTTATAGAATGGTTTCATTCTTATTGAATTTATCAAACAAATTTGATCAGTAGGACAATCTGCAAGGCATTTTAAATCTCTCAATTCTTTTCATGCATCAAGATCAATAATTTCAATCAAGCTAGCTGTTTAACTGATTTTGAAACAAGTGAAAATAAATGAATATGGAAAACCTGCTACCTAGTGCTGATTGAAAAATAGTATTCTTTATAAAAAATTAATTTCAGCATTTTAAACCAGATCATGAAACCACCCTTGATGTTCACATCATACATAAACTCAATGTCTACAGATTTCTGAGCAACTTTTTGTGACTTATCAAGTAAGCAAATATAAACTAGTAAAGATCTAAGATTTTAAAGAATTTGAGTCATACCTCGAGAACCTGATCACCGGCCCATAATCTGCCATCTCTAGCTGCCGCTCCGTCCTCGTATACCTCATGTATAATAATTGCTCCCTGCAAACATATACAATACATAAAACACTCCCTTTCATTTAAATGATCACAATTTAGAAACAAGAGGAAAGCAATTCAACATTTTTGACAGGTAAAATCAATTCATTAATGAAAATATCAGGTTCTCATGGAACTATGCCAATTAACCGTCCAGCTAGCTCATGTTCAACTGTGAATCGGGCAACCCAGGTTCAATTCCTGGATAGTGCAGGTCACTTAAGTTGTGACTGATCATGAAATCCTATCTATTATCATTTGCATTGTTTCTCTGTTCTTGCATGTACAGGAGTCTATCAGTTCCTTGCGAACATGAAGGCACTTATACTGGTAAACTTCTTGTCAGCCGGAGTGGCTGAACTGTGCTCTATAGTCTGTCCCATTAAAAATGGAAATGAACTTTTGCCTGGTATGAATTAATAAAAACACGTTGAATAAAACTTAAAACTTTTTTGTAAACTAAAAAAAAGTCACCCTCGAGATTTTTCAGGATTTTTCTCTAAAGTGTCTAATTTTCTTGTAAAAGTAAAGTTTCATTTCTCTACGGCAAATCTCTGTTGTTTATTTTCCGTAGCCATTGCCGAAGTACTCTTCATTTGAAGGTGAACGGGAGAAAGCACGTGTCATGTTTCTAAAATGTACATGATGTTCTCGGGGTCGTTTCATGATTATTTTACAAAGCTGTATCTACAAGATGTAACAGTTTCGTTGCAATGCATGATAGAAAACTTTAAAAAATTAATAACAAGCAACAACTTGAACAAGATCATCGAGTATGTGGAGTAGATCTAGAAATTGCACTTACTTTTAAGCTGAATAGTATCCCTATGAGTTTCGAAATAGATCTTTATAAACGTCACGACAAATTCGCATTCTGAAGATCACTTCATTGCCAGTTTATATCCAGTTCCGTAGACTTTGAAACTCCTGAATGGCATGACATTTACACTTATGATGATCCAGATTTTTTCATAATCCGTCTCATTATTAAAACATTGTTCCATTTGTGCAGTTATCTGGGTTAGCAAATGAAATATGTAAATGAAACACATCATAATCCAGTATGTTCCAAATCCATAATTCAAGAACGGCCCATAAATTTAGTTCGACAGCACAATGTTTATGGATTCCTGACGAAAAAACATTATTACGTCACCAATAATTTACGACATATATGACGTAACAAAAATGCCTCGCGCTTTTTATGGATGCTTCCAGTTGCAGCATTGGCAGAGGGCGGTTAGGCATATGTAACCTCATAAAAATAATTTTAAGCGAGATAAATTTGTCTTGATGGCATTTAAAATAATTTTTGTATACAGTACCCAGATTTTGCAGTAATTGTTAAAAGTACACCTTCAATTCATATATCAACAATAAAACATTTGATAACATTTAAATAATTTTAAACACACTTAATGGCATGGATCTATATGACAGAATACCTCTTCCATTAATTCACATATAACCTTCGTTTTGACTTTATGTTTTTAAACTATTTTATATATTTCTCAGAAATAATTTCCCTACAAATTATCTCGTTATTCAAGAGTTCTGTAAATCCTACTCTTTTAGCTACAAAATATAGACCCTATGCGGTGTTATTTTCTCTCGCGAAAAAATATAGCTATTGTTTTTTCACTGAATATTTTTTAATTTTAGGAAGGCTATAATTATTTAGGACATCACTCTGTGTTTCTCTTTGACTCGATGTCCCCTTCATATTAACATAGTATGTAACACTTTGAGTCTACAAAAAAAAACTTATTGTCCCTGATTAAACGCTCCAATTCAATCTTATTCTTAATAATATCAAACACTGCCGGTATTTCTGGACATTTTGTTAAATTATGAGACGGAAAATTAATCTGTATTGACAAGCTTAAAGTGTTTAGGCCAACGTTTGGTTGCTCAAACTAGAAAGCATTTTTATATTCTTATAATTTACATTTTTCCTCGCACGCGAGTCTGTGTTCTCTTCTTAGCAAATGAGCTAGTTAAAGTAGACACTGTGCAAAACAATACTAAACATATAGTGAATCAGTTCCCCTTTCTATATATTTCTTGTCAGATTTGCATGCTAATGTTATATTTGTTGGCGATTTCTGGTCAGGTTTCTGTTGTGAAAGTTAAAACCTACGAAAAGTTTTAACGCACGAACATCGCACCCGAAACAAGAAGGGTAACATATTTTTGTATCCCATCGGACCTGGTTAATTTAATTATTTTTAAATATACGTGATACATACTAATGGACAGTATTCAGACAACTACAGAAATATGTTAATTAAACATTAGCGAAGAACCATTTTTTCAGTCTTCTAGCTAGTGTTCCCGTTCCCTTACGACGCGTTGCGGTATTCAACATACGCGCTTGATTGAAAAGCTATCTAATCAAATCACTTCATAATATTGCTCTTTTTCTCTTAAAAAGAATATAAAATATGGTAATTATATAATTATATAAATCTTTGTGTGTTATAATTTATAAAGCGGTTACTGATATTTCACTTCAAATGATTTTAAATTGATTATTTTAAATAATGGTTTGCTAGTAAAATTGCCTTTTCGACACCAACTTTGTTCTCATTTTTCATTTTAATGATAACATTTAGCTATTGATCAGTAAGTAAATAAGAATAATCAATTTTTTATAATTAACGAGTACATTTCACGCTAATTGTGAGACGAACCCTAAATGACGTCTGTATGGGCGCCGCCATTTTGAAATGGACGTCACGTCAGGTTACAACGTAAGTCAACGGGAAAAAATATAATTTTAACATTTTGACCATATTACTGACTTTATGGAAAAAATGAAAAACATGCCTAGAGATATTGATGTCAGGATTAACATGACATTAATTTAAATGATTTCACTATTATATTTAATAAAAAATGGAATATTCAAATTTGGTGGGACAGACTATAGTTAGTTCAAAGGGACTTACTGCTTTAGAGAGTAAACAACAAAACCAAAACCACTATGCCAATCTGTTTCAAAATATTTGTTTATATGTGATTTCAGAATAGTTCCTTTTCTAAATACTGGGTTGGTAACAACTATTTTGTGCTTAGGATTATTTTAACTTAGCCTTGGAAAATTACTTCAGGATGTCTTCACAAAAATTAGATAAATTTACCACTGAAGCCTTAAGACTACATGTTTTTTTTATCATGAAGAACAACATCCTTTTTCAAAGCTTAAGAATTTCATTTTCATGTTTTGTAACCCTTTCATTTTCAATTTTTATCATCAAATCTTACCAGCAGTGTATCAGCTCCGCCTACAATGCTAAGGCCCAACCCAGTCCTGCCTTTCTCTATGGTGATGGCCACTTCCTGGCCTGGAATGATGGGACATGTCAGTGGGTCATGTGACCCAGATTCTGACACCTGATTGGCTGATGCTAGATCTGTTGATGATTCACCTGGTGGGTTAGACAGAGTGATCTGCCCTTGTACATTATTTTGAGCATATTGTGAGCCATCAGCATTACATTTTCTTACTTTTAACCTTACTGTTCCCTGACTGTTGCGTAGAATATCTATTGCCTAAAGAAAAATAGAAAATAACAGTTTCAAAATAGTAACTGAGGTCAAAGTCCATGAAATATCTATTATATAAATTTTCATAAAATAACTTTTTATGCATTTATTTATCAATTTATTCATACTGTTGTTTAGTTAGGCATCACTTTCACCTAATCAATATGTAGATATTAAATGATGATAATTAAAGTATTTCCCTGTACAAGTATACCTTCTGCTAGACATTGTTATAAGAAATGGAAAGTTTAGAGGTCTGAAAGTCTTCCTTATAAATGATAGCAAAAATAACCCAGAATATACCTTATCATAATGAACATCTTGTAGTGATTTGTCCTGGACTTCAAGTATCTGATCCCCAACGGACAGTCTAGTATCCCTGTCTGCAACACCACCAAATGTTATACTTCTAACATATATTCCTTGTCTACCATCTCTGTTCTCTTCAACAATGGCAAACCCTAATCCACTTGGACCCTGTATATACATACATAGATTTTATTATTTATTATATTTTTTGGTCATTTTCTTTGCTTACAGAGACCATACAGGCCTATCTCACCAACAAAGAGCTTGATCTACTTGCCTACTTGCTCCCCAACAAAGTATTCCTTAATTTTATACATGTTTGATTCATAATTACATTTCTAGCAGCTCTAAAATTAACAATATATTGTTCTATATAAAGAATGAAAATGCATTTGTATACAGGATTACTGCCCATGTCTTTGATAGATAAAATTATATATTTAGCAAACCCATTTTGATACAGGATCATGAAATCGCCCTGCTTATATGTAGATACTGATTGGTGACAGGTTAATTACAAGTTAATTACAAGTACATGTAACGTTGTGTATGTTATATTTTGGACTGCAAAAAAATAACAATAATATTTTGTCCTATAATTCTAAACTCTGACATTTTTTTTTCTAATTTCAAATATTCCCTTGATACTCCGTATATTGTTCAGAAAATAAACCTGTTGACCTTTTGTATTGCAAAAGTGACCCCCACGTCAGACTAAGTTAATTATAAATAAATCTCATATCAACTTAACCTTTTCCCTTATATAAGCGTGTTTCGACGGCTTTTTTGCCCCCCCCCCCCCTTTTTTGAGGCCTCAAACAGTGAAAAAATGTCCTATTTAGACCCCAAACACTGTTTTTCGTTTGAGAAATGTTGTTAAAAAAAGTGACCATTTTTTCGGCGCCGTCCCCCATCCAAATAATACATCAGGGGGTTGCCAGAAGGGGGATGTGCCCCCTTCTGTTTGGGGGGTTTGAAGGGGGGGCGGAGTCCCCCTCATCGCTAAGAAAATTTTGGACTTGTGAGAGGCTTAAAATGTCCCCAGGTTGATCATAAGGTAACGTGTAACCAACGCTGAAAAACCTTTGACTCTATCTCAATCCCTTGAGAAGTTGCAGCACTTTGAAATAAATTTTGATGGAAAAAATCGAGGCAAAATAGTGATTTTTGGCAATTTTGAGATGTCCCCTCGTTGCCATGGTAACAGGAAATTTAAGGCTGAGCATGTCGTTACAAAGGCAATGGTCCAGTCAACATTTGTGCCAAGTTTGATTAGTATTGAAGCATTTTTCATAGTTTCATAGCAGTTTGAACTTGTAAGAGGAGGCTTTTCAGTGAAAATGGCCATTTCATGGGGGAAAGGGTTAAGTAGAAAATAGCATGCAATAACCAAATGAATATACCATACACCATTATATAATACTTGTACATTTTGCAAATATAAATCCTCAGACATCTTAAAAAATATTATGTTTAATGTTGTGAAAAATACCAATTTCTTAAATCCTGTACCGAAACTAACATGCTTATATTGTTGCTTCTCAGAGAAAAAAGTAAAATGCAATTCATTTTGTAAAACCTCTTATCTCATCAAATCAGCCTGGATCAGAGATTATTGGTGATTTAACTAGAAAACCCATTAGCAAATATCAAAGAAATGCATTGTGGGTGTTATTAATATACGGTTTGCAGATAACGACAGAAAGAATGAAGAACAATGTAAAAGATATCAGCCACCATCTCATTGATTTTTTCACTTTATGTATGGAAAGTGAAGACAGTTAAAAAACAAAACCCAGACATATCTTCCTATATGAACAGACAAAATGCATTTGATTTATGTATTATATATGCACATGACTGAACAGCTGTGTGTGACTGATTTTAGAATTTTTTATATAGAAAAAAAACAAGCATGATTTAATACAATCCACACACATGTCTTATGATATATCATAAGATAACATTTTCAATGATTTTATCTGGTTATCCTGCTGTTTTAATGTAATATCATTATACAATATGTCGTTTTTGTTTTTTTTACTTATATACACTGATATTATGTCTTTTCTTTGTCAAAATACAGTAATTATACACTGATAACACTGCAGGATAGATAATTCTGTACTGTACACCTTGTACTGCTTGATTTGTCCTCAATGCCTCAGCAAAATGCTTATTTCACTTTTCAATGAACATGACACAGTTTGAAAAAAATCAACAACTTGAAATAGACTGTCTAATGTCTGCATGGCTGTAAACCTGGTCTTAACACAGCACTTGATTGCAGCACAATGCTTTGCACATTCTAATATCCACATATTTTTGTTATTAATTTTAATTATCACAGTGCTTTATTTAATGTGAATTTTTCCATTTTCATAGGGAAATTTTTTATAAAAAATCAAACTTTCCTTTTTTTATCTACCCAACAAAAAATTCTTTTTAAAAACAATGTCAATCAATCAATGATAAATTTAGGGTCTAGCTTAATTGTTTATTTCTCAAAATGTTTTTCCCACAAAAATTTAGTAACAAGCAGTAAAAAAAAGTATTTTTCAAAATACGCATTTTGAATAATAGGGTTATTAGACAGAAACAAATTTCAAAACAAGATCATATGGTTTATTAATAATAATGACGTAAATTGAATTTTGCAAAATTTTTGAAGAAAAAAAATTTGTTTTTGGGGAATAATCGGGAGCATTCCTGTACGGGTACCAATTAGCCTGAGAAAAATATTGAAAAATGGCAAGGATTAATATGTAGGAAAATACAACTTAATCAAGCGAAATTGCTTATGTCTGTTCCATTTTGACATTCTTTTACCACTTTATTTCAACAAATCATAATCCACAACAAAGTCTTAAAGACAATGCTTACTTGTGTGGAAGAATGGAAATGAAAATGCATTGAAAGTTAAAATGTTTAAAAACTTTGATATTTCACTTTCCTACTTACATGATTGTCAATGTCATAAAATATATTACATTTTAAGCATATAACCCCCAGTAACTGCAGTTTTACTAATGCTGATTCAGCAAAAAGTAAAAATATTCAAGGTTAAAACTGTTGATTCAGCAAAAAATGATGTTCATTACAAAACCTACATATTCATACCTTATTTAAACTAATAACTTGAATAACATCCAGCATATTTGAGCCAGTGGGACTGACTGGTTGCTTCTCTTCTGAGGGGGAGGGGCTTAAGGTGGCTGGCTCAGATGTGGGTGTGGTCAGCTGTGAAGATTCCACTTTCTTCTCCTTGAATGAGATGTAAAGTTTAACTATAAGCTAAGGAAACTGGTATATGATAGTTATATGATTCTTACATTTGTTTAAATATATATTTTACATACTTTTCGATGGTTTACAGAAATATATCAGTGAAATATAAAACTGATATTTTCAATGTTTGAAACAGTGAAAATATCAATTTGATATTTTACACAGTTTGAATTTACTTAGCCCGTTACGTTGTTTTCATTGAAATACCAGTGTGCATAGTGCTGGAAACTAATTTAATGACAAAATGTCATAAATGATGTGATGTTGTATCATTATTTGGTACAATTTTCATTTAGTAAAAGGTTAAAAAGTCTTTTTAAACGTTTCTTTGCATATAATATAAAGAAAATTTAGTGTAAGATGGAAATATATATCACTTTGTGAAAACCAAAAGTTCATATTTCAACTTGTGGTGTGCCCCTAAAGGGAAAAAACCTTTTGGTGCTCACTCGTGAAATTTTTTTGATCTTAACTGAAATAAAAAAATATCCTCATTTTATTTTGAAGAAATACAAAAAATTCCTTTAATTAAGTAACTATTTTTTGAGAACTGCTATCATAATTATTCAACAATGTTTTATAGTACAAATGTATAATGTTCTTAAGGAAAAATCCTGTTTTAAAACCATGTTATTGTAAACAAGCAGGTGCAAGATATACTTATACAATATTTGACAGGTGTGCACCTGGAAAAACTTACATGTTTTGTTGAGAATAGGTGAGTGATTTTGATTGGTTTTACAGCCATACGCTCCAGGTATCATCTCTCCTGAAATAAACAATATCTTTATATATGCTACATTCAACTCCTCTACATTCAACTCCTGCTACATTCACTTCTGCTACATTCAACTCCTGCTACATTCAACTCCTGCTACATTCAACTCCTGCTACATTCAACTTCTGCTACATTACAACTTCTGCTACTTACAACTTCTGCTACTTACAACTTCTGCTACTTACCACTTCTGCTACATTCAACTCCTGCTACAAGTTCTGCTACATTCAACTTCTGCTACTTACAACTTCTGCTACTTACCACTTCTGCTACATACAACTTCTGCTACATACAACTTCTGCTACTTACAACTTCTGCTACTTACCACTTCTGCTACATACAAACTTCTGCTACATACAAACTTCTGCTACTTACACTTCTGCTACTTACAACTTCTGCTACATACAACTTCTGCTACTTAAAACTTCTGCTACATTCAACTCCTGCATAACATTCAACTCCTGCTACATTCAACTCCTGCTTACATTCAACTCCTGCTACATTTCAACTTCTGCTACATTCAACTCTGCTACATTTCAACTTCTGCTACATTCAACTTCTGCTACAAACAACTTCTGCTACAAACAGTTTCTGCTACATACAACTTCTGCTACATACAACTTCTGCTAGATTCAACTTCTGCTACATACAACTTCTGCTATTTAAAACTTCTGCTACATACAACTTCTGCTACTTACCACTTCTGCTACTTACAACTTCTGCTACATACAACTTCTGCTACATAAAACTTCTGCTATCTTACCACTTTGCTACTTACAACTTCTGCACATAAAACTTCTGCTACTTTACCATTCTGCTACTTACACTTCTGCTACAAAAAACAAATTTCTTAATCAACCTGTACTAAATTCTGTTTCTTACAACTTCTGTACTTACCACTTCTGCTACATTCACTCCTGCTAAAAGTTTTGTACATTCAACTTCTGTACTTAAACTTCTGTATTAAATATTGGGACATTCGACTTTTCTTCCTTTAAATTGACTTTCTCATTCAAATTCACTTTTTGCTAATTTAAATTTTACAGTATAATACAAGCATTAGACAGCATGTACAGATCAAATTAAAATGCATATATGAAATGTATTTCTTTCACTTTCTAATATTTAGTCAAGATATACATGAATAATTTTATGACATTATCTCTAAAAAAACTCTCTTATAAACTTTCATAATTTCATTATTTTATATTTTTTTACTTAATTGTATTATGTTTTTTATTTTTTTAAAAAAAAATTGTTTTTATTGTTTAATATGATAACAGAATACCTAAAATGAAAATATTTTATGGAAAGGGTGTGAGGCATGCCTGAAATCATCACAAAATATCTTAAAGATAGCATTTTCATATTATTTTGTTCTAGACCATTTTAGTTTGTTTACATACAATATCCATGTATGTTAAATTACATTTGCACTTTATGTTACAAATCTTTCAAAAAGTCATCACAAGGTTATGAAAACAACACAATTTTCTGTGTTTTTTTTTTTTAATTCTCATAATATATTTCATTAGATATAGCTTTATACATGTTAAGTTTACTAGGAAACTGTAATGTACTGGACAATGATGACTTCAAAATGTAAAATAAACATTAACAAATAAATTGGATAAAGTAATCTTTATTTCTTGCGGAAGTTGATGCAACATGTAAACATGTAAGAACAATGAGAATGTACTCTTGGTGTATCAGAACTCCTACATTAACTATTCTACCAGATATTTGCACTTATTTAACTTGAAACATGATGAAATACTTCTTGTTTTTGCTAGGTTGTTTTCTTTGTGAGTTAATCAACTGTCTGTTACACCTACTTCTATTATACAAAATCTTCTCTGTGTAAAATTATTATCTCATCTTCTTCTTATGTAAATTTTTGTTTCAAGTAATTACAGTTTAGTTTCACTTGTAAATTATTTTAACTCTAAAATCTCTAGATTTGTACAATGACTATGTTCTATTTTGACTTTGAAACTGTCCATTTGTCTAATATTGTTACTTTTAATGATTGTAATACATAAATCAAGTAGCCAGTATTATGGTGGTCTGTTCAGTCTGTAAAGATGTACAGGCTCGCCTGACTGACACATTACTGATCGCGGTCTGTTCAGACTGTGAAAATGTACAGGCTGGCCTGACTGACACATTACTGATCGCGGTCTGTTCAGTCTGTGAAGATGTACAGGCTGGCCTGACTGACACATTACTGATCGCGGTCTGTTCAGACTGTAAAGATGTACAGGCTGGCCTGACTGACACATTACTGATCGCGGTCTGTTCAGTCTGTGAAGATGTACAGGCTGGCCTGACTGACACATTACTGATCGCGGTCTGTTCAGTCTGTGAAGATGTACAGGCTGGCCTGACTGACACATTACTGATCGCGGTCTGTTCAGTCTGTGAAGATGTACAGGCTGGCCTGACTGACACATTACTGATCGCGGTCTGTTCAGTCTGTGAAGATGTACAGGCTGGCCTGACTGACACATTACTGATCGCGGTCTGTTTCAGTCTGTGAAGATGTACAGGCTGGCCTGACTGACACATTACTGATCGCGGTCTGTTCAGACTGGACTGTGAAGATGTACAGGCTGGCCTGACTGACACATTACTGATCGCGGTCTGTTCAGACTGGACTGTGAAGATGTACAGACTGGCCTGACTTGACACATTACTGATCGCGGTCTGTTCAGTCTGTGAAGATGTACAGGCTGGCCTGACTGACACATTACTGATCGCGGTCTGTTCAGTCTGTAAAGATGTACAGGCTGGCCTGACTGACACATTACTGATCGCGGTCTGTTCAGTCTGTGAAGATGTACAGGCTGGCCTGACTGACACATTACTGATCGCGGTCTGTTCAGACTGTGAAGATGTACAGGCTGGCCTGACTGACACATTACTGATCGCGGTCTGTTCAGTCTGTGAAGATGTACAGGCTGGCCTGACTGACACATTACTGATCGCGGTCTGTTCAGTCTGTGAAGATGTACAGGCTGGCCTGACTGACACATTACTGTTGGCAAAAGCTTGTCATACTAATTACTTATGCTTGAAAAGTTTTCAGAACTTTAGACGTGTAGATTCTTCATTCTGTGATAAATAAATTTCCGTATATTTGCCTCACTATATCTTTAAATCATTAAATTTTTATTTGATTCTTATCAGACCTGCAGCAAAGATTTTATTACCAACGTTTCTTTGAATTGTGCAATTAAAAACTTCTCATGGTTTGATTTATTATCTGATATTAATGTTATGTGATATACAATATCAAATGATTATACCCCACATTAATAACAACTGCCAAAACATTTCATTACCTCATTTCTTTAATGTTAGAATCTTTTAGAGTAAATCAGAGAAATAAAAATTGGGTTTTTTCTTTGGTGTGTTTTTTTTAATATACATGTACAAAAATGTAAGGAATAGCTATAATATTATCATAATGTGCCTACAGTGTTAGTCAATGTAATGAATATTAAAAACTTGTGAATGATTTCTGTTTACTTTCAATGTAGAAACTGACTCAGTTTGGTGAAGATAAATTTCTCCCTGACAATAAAACCAAAACCTGTATGGCAACAGGTCACACTGGTGGGTAACTGACAGGTAACTATTATAAAAAGTCTTAGTTATTCCATACTTAATCAAAACTTCATAGAAAACCTCTACCCAATCTACCAACCATCAACCCAATGGGACCCAAGTTCTCAATACTGCTGGCAACAGGGAACTTGCCAATAATCATACTATCAGAATATGGGAGAGAGAAAATTGGCATCAACTAAATTATTGTAGAGACCAAGTCTAGCTAAGTGAACAAAGTCTGCAAGTTTTAAGTGAAATTAACAAGGTTACAATGAATGATAAACACAATTGTTTCAATGTCCAATTTTCAAACTGTCTGATCAAAATGGAATAACAGGGGATATTTATCCATTTTTGAGAACCAAACAATTCTTGGTCTAGTGACATTCTGGATAATATTCACAAGCAGATATCGGACAATTATTCTCAAATTTTTTCATTCCATCAGTTTCCAAGACAGATCAAAAGGTCAAAAGGATAAACCTATAACATAGCTATGTTATGATAGTCAATTAGAGAATAATACATTAAAGTTTGATGAAATTCTGGTAATACATTTTATGATTTCATGAAACTTTTAAGTTAATATAAGCATCACAATAATGTTAACAGTGATAAACTTAATACAAGTAATTAATATGAGCAAGAGAGGACAATGCAATCATGTTTCATCAGGTAAAGTCCCTTGGTAAAACCATCACTGAAATTTCATATTCCATGATAAATTATGACATTAAGCTTCAATAGTGAATCAATGACCTGTTCATAAAACATTTCACTTAATTTGTTGCTGTCTGTTTTGGAAATGTCTGAATTTGAAATAAAACATTGCTTTTTTTATTCTTACAGTATGATTAATGACCGTAGAAATAATTCGTCCGAATACGGTATATTGATGGTGTAAAATTGATTGGAAAATCTCGATGCATTTTGCAAAATTCCTCAGTTGGCTTAGACAAAATTTCTAAAAGCAAATAATATGCAAGCTTAAAACCTGCTGAAACTATAGAAGACTAGGCCAGGATTGTGTGGGAGTCAAAGTTTCCTGGAACCAAATCCATAAAACATGAATTCTGAGACAAGTCAAATCCAAGCTGCTCATTGGTTGATTTGTAGAACAGATTTGTGAATAACCAATGAAAAGATTTGATATTTTCTATTATTCTATCTTTGTTTCATTATGAATGTCATTCACGCTTCATATTATAGCCTATAATATGCACAATATCATCAAACCTTGAACTTGTTTATTCTTATAGTACACTGTATTTCAAGAACATTTTATTGTTTGTTTGTTTACATTTATCTTAAAATTCTCTTGTACGTACTTATAGTAATATAGACATACGTCTGAACTTGCCTGAAGTGTGGACATGTTCTATACTGACAGACGCTTAAGCAATGCATTTTATTGATTGAAATCCATTTAACCAACAACTAACAGTTTCAAATCAAAGTAGAACATGCACATTAACCAACAATAATCAGGATTAAGTTTACAGACATGTTCTATGTGAAACTCACGTAGTTATATTTTATGCAAGTAAAGGCAAACCATATTCTTAATACAGAATCTGGTGGATGCAAGCAGACATATTTGCTCTCCAAACAAAACTTTCTGCAGCACATTATTTGTTTTAAAAGACTTTAAATCAACTAGAAAGAGACAACAATTAACTGCATTCTTGATGAAAGTGCCAAGCACAGACATGTATCTTTGGCAACTTATTCTAATGCAACAATATCAGTCAGGGAAAATTACAATAACTGATGTTTATTCTTTAAGCTAGTTATTCTGTACTGTCTCCTCAATATCAACTGATTTAGTCCCTATTCTCTATTTGTGACCCCTGTCTATATATTATACAAATTCTCTTTAACCCCCATCCATCATAACAGAACTTAACTTTGGTCTTCTCTTATTATTCCAGCCATGAAAAATGTAATAACATTTATCAAATAAGACATAAAATGTCTCTTAGTTTTGGGAGAGCTGTCAGGCATAATTTATCTTCACACATACACTGCAGCATGTAACTATTTGCCAGTCAATTACATTTCCTCATACCCATAATCAGCTTTTGACAGATTTTCAATACAATTATGACCTGCTTGATTCATTCGTAACAGAACATTTCTTGGTGTAATCACAGGAATGCTTGATTATTAAATGTCAAACAGGATCAGTTCAGCTGGCTTTCCTTGCCAGATTTATTTCAAATAATGCAACAATCTTCTTGGAAAAGAATGATAATGTGAATTAATAGCCAGTGTTCTAGATTTTTCTGGAACTATTACACATTGTAGTCACTAAATTGAGAAAGACAGAAGACATTCAGGACTGACAGAGAAAATAACTGCAGAAAAAGATATTTTAACTCTTCATCCTACTTCTTTATCTGGTTTAAATAGGGTTAATGGAATTCATACAAACATATCAAGTTAAAATTTAATATCTTTTCTGTCTCTTGACAGTAAGCCCAACTTTTCTCAATGCTGTGTAGTAAAATTAAAGCAAAGTAGAAAAATAAAATCCTGCAAAAGTGCTTAACAAGTGTTTCAAGTTTAAAGTGAAAACTTTTGAAAGGCAAATAATGAAAGTCAAAAAAGGGAAATGATTTTTTTTCAAGGTTGTCTAGACCTTAGAAATGCATTTCAATTTTAATAATAAACAAGTATTCCAAGTTTAAAGTAAGTATCTTTGTTTGAAAAATGTAAATTGACAAAAAAAGTTAATCAGATTGAAAAGGGGGCATAACTGATCAAGAACGAACAATAAGGTTACCTGCCTTAATGAATAGCATTTCAATTTTGATATTTAACAATTACATGTATTCAAAGTTTGAAATGAAAATTTTTGGATAGTTTATGGGGAAAAAGACATCAGCAAAAAATATTTAGTTGAAAAGGAGCAGTAACTTTTGTCAAAATAAAATTTTGGAATTATCTGCACTTTAGTGCAAGTATGAGGTAATGAAATAATGCAGGGGCAACCAGCCACCTGTTAATGTAAGTGCACAGATTTATACAATAAACTTGTAGATAATCAATGATAAAATACTAACATACTAGATTAATCTGAGTATAATATGTTGTAAACAGGTTGTCAAACCAGACATCTTGAAATAATAACATGTTCCATCTTTCAAAACAAAGTGTGGGATCACAAAACAACTGATCTGGAAATGAGGAAGCTGTGCTACTATCAAGACATATTATATTTTCTAAACCATTCCAATGACCTAAATTGTTTCGTTCCATGTTAAACAAAACCATAATAACTTGTAAATATATATATATTACTTCCCTATATAATTATGAAAAACTTAATAAATTACCTCAGGAGAACTATTTTAATGACTGGAGTATTGAGACCTTTAATTATAGCAGAGGCATTGAGGTGACTTCTTCCATACAACACACTGCCATTCACCTGAAAACAAATTTCATATACAATCAACCATAAAAAACACATTTATATGATAATATATTCAGAGAATATGTATCTGACCAATAAGTTCGTAAATTTGGTTTAAGGAAGAAGGTATAAATAATGTGCTTCTGCAGGAAACGTTAAGATGATGTCAAAAAGGTATGGCAAAAAAAAGCAGATTGAATGTGAATAGTCTGGCTACTGCTACAACAGACATGAAACAACCATTTAATTAATGTGTTATTTAGGAAATAGATATCAATTCTGAGTGCATTGTTGTAGAATAATGCACAGTTTGAGTTCAAATGTGTAGTAATATAATCACGAAGGCCGATAGGCCTGAGTGATTAATTACAAAGCATTTGAACGAAAAACGTGCATTATTATACAATAATGCACGAAGAATTAATATCTATTTCCATTCTAACACGTCAAGAAAAAATATAATTATTATTATAACGTTGGACTTTATGTTTTGGTGGTTGAATTTGTTTTCGCCTCAGAGTTTCCAATAGAAACGTTCTTTAAAGCCGTTCCAGTGGGTTGAAAAAAAACTGTCGTTAAATCTACCGTGTTGTAGAAACATTTTGAAAATAACGAATTTTGAAAACGTTGATACAACTTTGTTTGTTTATTTATTTCAGTTTATAATTTTTCAAGCGAAATACAAATTATTAAAAGTGAAATAAATGTAAAACTAAACTCGTTTGCGACATTAAAATAGCGTACTTGATTTGATTGTTTTGCACGTGCTGTTTGGCGCTACATTGTGACGTCACGTAAACAACACTTTAAACGTCTGTACAGCGTTAACGACTGAATTAAAGATATTGGTGTTCGGATTAATTTTCTTAGTTAGACCATTTTCTTTCATTCTAGATAGTTTTCACAACAAAATTCGACAAAAAATTGTTTTATTTATCAGATTTTTTTAAACAAAATGGCGCCCCCAATGTGAAAATACACAGGGAGATTATAAGAACGGCGAGTGCATTGTTGTAGAATAATGCACGCTTCCGACCTTCTTTGTCTATATAGGAAAATTTCCGATAGTGTTAGAATAATAAATAAGGACATAAAAGGGAGCCTAAAAATTGACCTTTGGTACAAGGTGGCCACTGATATAAGGTGACTATTAGAGCAGGTAAGACTGTTTTAGTAATTTAATTCTTAGTAAAAGACGGACAAATTCAACTGATACCTCAAGTAGTTCATCACCGACTTGTATTTGTCCATCTAGCCCTGCAGCACTGTCAGGCTGGATACCAGCTACAAATACACTCATTGTATTTCTGTCTTTGTTACCTGCTAGGCTAATACCTAGCCCACTACTGCCGCGTGTCAGCTCAACCAATAGTAGATCTCCGTTCAAGTCACCATACCGACGCTGTATACGTTCTGAAAATAAACAAACGCAACATAAAATATATGGTTGTACCAGTAAAACATTTATACAATCTTTAGTTTATATTCCAGTAGTGGCAGGAGCCAAATATAATTAATGTATAATGTACCATGACAGTACATTTACATCAATAAATATTAAATTAACTAGCATATTGAACATCAAATTGCCATCTAGATTATTGATGGCCCTTTAAAAACAATTTAATATCAAACTGAATATACAAATAAAACAGGACAGTGACTAATGTCATGTTAGTCAAACATTAATGCATTGAAAGCTGACTCAATATAACCATGTAATGTGGTTTGTCTTGTTGTATATTGTTTGTTTTTGTATGCTTTTCTAGTTGTCATGCCAATTTTAATGCATGTTTTGAGCATATAATTTTATATATCAACGGTTGATCATTCCACCATACCGGCTTTCCCAGATAGCTAACCAGTAATGACTAATTTGTCTACAAGTAACCCACTTACTAATCCCACATGATTTCTGAATCAGCAGTGAAAGACAAATGACCATTATACTGAATGTCAGAGATAACTTGTCACAGAAAAATTACACCTTCACTGAGGATCAAACCAGTATAACCTAGACTAGACTACTTATCCAATGCTCTCTCTATTGAGCTAAGAGGGCAGACCTGAAGTATATTGAATTCAGTGACTTTAAATAATTTGAGAATTGTTATCTATTTCATTTAGATAGAGCCACACTATAATCAACAAGGTAAATTGGCCTTTCCATGCAAAAATACCATGATTATATTTACTTAGTATACATTTTAGAGAATGTAGATAAAACACGAATAACTAAAAGCTTTTATAGCGCAGTGGGTATAAAACAAGATACTATCAGACATATTATATGAATAACTTATGATAGGTAACTAGGTTCTTTTTGCAGCATTTTCTGTAACCTTACATTACTCTAGACAGCAACAGAGTTTTTTCAGGCAGTTTAATTAATATACAACATGTACTTCAAATGCAAATTATGTTGGGGTTTTTTTTGTGAACGAAAAGAAATTAGAAAGACCATACAAGTATGTGAATATTGTGAAAATTTGCCAACCAAACTACTGCTTTATATCACAATGTTTATTTTTTTTTTTTTTAGATTTTAGATAGCTTTATTCTTCTCATCATATGTATGTGGGGGTCGAGGACATACCCATCCATACTATAGATACCTATATATCACAATGTTATAAAGTCAGATTTATGCTTATCCCATGGCATTAATTAAATACTATCAAAATAGTGCATAAAAAACAAATTTTATCTTTTGTAGTCAATGTTTAAGGCTTTTATAAGGTATGTAAAGGTATGTAAAACATATAACAGAAAAAAAATGAGTAAAGAACAAACCTCATTCCTTAACTTACATTAAACAGTATAAAATACAAGGACATGCATGTGGAATAATGACTGTATCAGTTTACAATCCTATTAAAACAACAGGTGTGGTACAAATCTGTCAATCATCTCAGTCATGATTACATCTAAAACAATATCTTTTTTTCTACATCTTTATAAATTCAATCAAATTCAGTTGTTCATCTAAACTGGTACACAGCTTGAGGTGTTAACAGTTGTCTGTTAATTTTTTTTAAAATAAATATTGTAATGTGTTGATATGTAATTTTCTTTTTACTTATCTTATCATAAATATTCTAAGTTAAACAGGGGCAAACTCTAAAAGATATTTCTTTCCAGTTAATGCCTCTTGCCTGTACCTTGTCATGATGATCAAGCGCTCCAAGTTCCATTATGATATAGCTTTGATAGTTTTGAAATCCAAGGCAATTTTTGACAAAAATTCTAGACTAGTTAAAATAGGACATAATTCATATTTCTTTCAGAATAGTGTCCCTAAATGTCTTCATACTTTACTTTGTCATAGTTAATAAGTATCAGTTTTGTAATGGTCCACAAGTCAATACTATATGAAAAAAATATCTAAGCTCTGATTATTGAAGTTTCACATAATAAAACTTACATTTCGATGGCTGAACGCAACACTGGTCTAACTTGATTTTTTTTTAAAAATGACTTTTTTGCATTTTTTAGTCTATTTGAATGAAATACATCAGTAAATAAAATATAAGAAATATTTGTGAAATTTTATGGGTTTTATTTACCACTTGGCATTTTGCTCTATCTCAAATGTGATTATAACTTAAATGCAACAGAGAGCTAACTCAAGTTAGAACTGTGTTGCATTAATCAAAATTTACTTATTGGATGATAACACTGTGCTAACTCTAGTTAGCACAGTGTTGCTGTTAAATTTCAATACAATAAATTTTAGTATTGTTATATTTGCAGGTATTAAGTAAGGTCTGGCATATTCCTAAACAATTATTTCTACATTTTACCCATGTTTGTTGCCAAAATTGCAGAATTGTAAATCCAAAGCTCTTAATTAATTCTATTTTGTTTTCAAGGAACATTTATAAGTTTAAAATTGCTATATTATCTCTACATATTCATATAAGATTGAAATAAAAAATAACAGTAAATTAACCTTTCAAAGCATTTTTATTATAATATTTAAATCATATAATTCACTGTTGATGAAAATTATTTACAAGACAATTTGTTTTGTTTTTTTGTTGTTGTTGTTTTTAATCATAGTCATCATTTTAATACTGATGAAACAAGATCTCCCACCCTTTAAAAATTTCAAGATTTTATAATTATTTAATACAATTTGCTCCTAATTCTTAAAGGGACTCTAATTTTGGCATCATGGGACTTAAAATATATTTTTGAGATTTATGTACAATTTGATGACAGTCTGGACAAATAACTTGTGGTGTTCAAACTTTCAGATTATTTGCTAAATTTTTTCCAGAGCAATTATGTGAACTGTAAAAATGACCGAAAATTGAAAAGCATTCTTATATTAGCTTTAAACTCAAATTAGATTCTAATAGAACCATGATGGAATTTTCAATTTCATGTTAAGTATAATTTCTTTATATCTCTTGTGTATCTTTTGTTTATGTGACCCAAGTTGATTCATTTCAGAAATTCAAATCTCAAGTTTTTATGCTTTTGGACCTCAGTGAAGTCTTTTTAAGTATCTGTATGTACAAGGCTTGTAATCATTTAAATAAAACTTTTGGTTTGGTTGGTTTTACAGCGCACCAACACAATTGAGGTCCTTAGAATAATGTCACTGAAAAAGATTTTTTCTTGCACATCAGATAGGATTATCTTCTGTTTTAAAATACACCAGTGCTAGAAAAACCTGTCTTACATCCCCCATGTAAGACAAGTCAATGTTTTTAAATGAAGTCATTCCCAAGCGCCTTTTATGAATGAATTGCTTTCTAAACATGACATCATTGTGCCATAACAAATGAAGTTGTAAAGTCATACGCTACTATACGAGAAAAGTGCTAAATGAAACTATTAGTTATCGTCATTTCTTTACGAAATATCACTAATATGTAATATGCGAGAAAAAAAATCCAACACAAGCTGTTGTCACAGACAGGAATATCTAGTTCTTGGGTAACTGTGTAGCAGAAACTCTGCAGAGTCTTTTTACCGCCATAAAAATTACCCTCAAGTTAGATATTCCGGTCTGAACTGGCAGCCTGTGTAAATTCCTTATAAGCTTAAACCTCGGATGTTACAAACATGAAGCAGCAGAACTTGGGTACTTGAGGTCTTCCTCCACTGGGAAAGCTAGAGTATTGCCATATGACCTCTACTGTGTAAGTGTGACATAAAACCCAACAAGAAAAGAAAAGAAATGTTGTGGAGGGTCCCCGTGACAGCAATGCAAGCCTCAAAGTTCTAGCGCCTCTGGAACGACCGTGAGAGCTTGGCGCGCCTGGCAAAAATGTGGGGGACAATGTTGGTGATATATTATATTTAGTGTGGCCAATGCTGATAAAGAGGATAATAGTGGAAACAATGCTTCTGAAATCATAGATGGGATAATGCTGGAGATATGATAGTAAATGGGGACAATGCTGGTGATATCATAGTAAATGGAGATAATGCTGGTGATATGAGGGTTAGTTTGGACAATGCTGGTGATATCATAGTAAATGGGGACAATGCTGGTGATATCATAGTAAATGGGGACAATGCTGGTGATATCATAGTAAATGGGGACAATGCTGGTGATATAATAGTAAATGGAGATAATGCCCAGGTGATATGAGGGTTAGATGGGACAATGCTGGTGATATCATAGTAATTTGGGATAATGCTGGTGATATGAGGGTTAGTTGGGACAATGCTGGTGATATCATAGTAAATGGGGACAATGCTGGTGATATGAGGGTTAGTTTGGACAATGCTGGTGATATCATAGTAAATGGGGACAATGCTGGTGATATCATAGTAAATGGGGATAATGCTGGTGATATGAGGGTTAGTTGGGACAATGCTGGTGATATCATAGTAAATGGGGATAATGCTGGTGATATGAGGGTTAGTTGGGACAATGCTGGTGATATCATAGTAAATGGGGACAATGCTGGTGATATGAGGGTTAGTTGGGACAATGCTGGTGATATCATAGTAAATGGGGACAATGCTGGTGATATCATAGTAAATGGGGACAATGCTGGTGATATAATAGTAAATGGAGATAATGCCCAAGTGATATGAGGGTTAGATGGGACAATGCTGGTGATATCATAGTAATTGGGGACAAGGCTGGTGATATGAGGGTAAGTTGGGACAATGCTTGTGATATCATAGTAAATAGGGACAATGCTGGTGATATCATAGTAAGTGGGGATAATACTGATGATATGAGGGTTAGTTGGGACAATGCTGGTGATATCATAGTAAATGGGGACAATGCTGGTGATATCATTGTAAATGGGGACAATGCTGATGATATGAGGGTTAGTTGGGACAATGCTGGTGATATCATAGTAATTGGGGATAATGCTGGCGATATGAGGGTAAGTTGGGACAATGCTGATGATATCATAGTAAATAGGGACAATGCTGGT